GATGTAAGTACATAGGGCGAACGCAACGGCAATGAGAACCAAAGAGCACTTGTCTAGTTGGCTATTGAAACAAGAAAATAGAACTCCTTGTTCATCCATTACTGAACATTTGCTAGATACGGGTCATTCTGTGGACTCCAAAACCTCCTTCCGAGTACTTGCGGAAGCGGAAGCGAATGCTCAGCTATGTGCGCGGAAGGTGAACGGAAACTGGAAGTCTTTCAGCACTACTGCTTGAGGGCCATCCTTCGAGTGAAGTACACTGACTTCATCTCAAATGAGACAGTCCGCACTCGCTGCGACAACATCGCAAATATATCCCACGCAATCCAAAAAAACGACTGAGGTGGTTTGGACATGTTCTTCGCCGTCAACCTCACAATCTCAGTGATACTGCTTTTGACTCGAAACCGTTACCTAATTAGAAACGTCGAAGTGCGGGTCAGCTCAAAACTTGACTGTACTCAGTCCGTCAGCACATCGAAGTGGTACTTGGACGTTCGCTATTCAGTCTCGGGCGCTGGGGAAGATAATGGCTTGAACTGCCCAGGTCTGTTGCCACTGACCGTCGCGCATGGAGAAGCACCGTAAGGGATATCCTCGGGGCCGGCTAAATCAGTCATGATCGCAGCCACAACAAGAACAAAGTGGTTTTTGGTGGTAAAAGTTTGCGCATGTTTTGCAGTTCTGCTTTTAAGTTGTTTAGACTACCACCCTAGACAGGCACCTTACGTAAACTTTAGTAAGATGCGGCTTATTCTCGTCACCGAGGTTTGAGATTTAAAACGAAGCAGGACCTCAGTATGGCGCTAGAGAGAAACAATGAGTGTCGGTTACTTCGCCATTTGGAGCGATAACGACAAGGCAGAAGTCATTGACCCGAGCCTGGCTCGCGGCAAGTACTTTCCGTTTTTTTTAACCTGGTTGCGGGCGACTTCCGGATAAATTGGCACAAGAGAGCGAATAATGCGCGTGAAAGTTGCCAATTAAAGGAGGGTAGAATTGTCTGCAGTTAGATGCCAAGTCTGCACGGTTTTAAAACAGTGTGCTTTTTGATTTCCTGACCACCTTAAATAGGCTGCAGTTAGAAGTTAAAAGTTCCCTTTTAAATGCCAATTAACGGGATGGGGGGGGTGCACCATGGTTACGGCCTACGCTGCAGCACTACAAATTACGCGTTTGGCTGTGGAATGACAAGGGGGAGCGGCATAGCCAATCAAATGCGAAGACTGAGGTTAGAGGTCGCCTAGACAAAGGCCTATAGCATGCGTCTTATAGGCACTCTCAGGAGTCTTCGCTACCTACATGGACGACACCCATGGCGACGATTTTGGATGGCTGGGTAGGGAAACCTGGATGAAGCTTAGATCCTGCACTTACACTTTCCAATACTCAGGTGGTTTGGCTCCAGCTTGTCTGTTCGGATTCGCTGCACTTTCCAACCGCCGCAGGTTCTATCACAGATGCATTCAACGATCTTACCGTCCAGAGACTTGTCCTTGGAGGTGACCTGAGCGAGATGGGCGTTGGGAACGTTGCTTCCGCCGAGGAAGAGTTCACCGACGTACTGGCTGATTTCCCTAGAAAGGTACAGCAATAAAGGGGAAAGCATGAACAAAACTCACAATAAAGAGTCACTAGTATCTATAGGGCAAACATATGTTTTTGTTAGTTTGTCATCAGGCCACGAGAATGACACGAAGAATTGACATGTGAGCCATGGACAGGGTTTATATAGGTCTCGAGGGGTTAGTCACACTTTTCTTTGATTCGCCAATCGAACTTACACCAATGAGCAAAGTACCAGCATGAACTTGAGCCCTAAGGTAATTCCGAAAGAAGCTTTTAGTTTACTTGACGATCTGCTACAACTGCTTGGTTTGATAACTTGTCAATCGGACAACTGATTACGACTGAGTTACTCCCAGTTGACGATTGATTTCTAAGGAGATCAGAAAGCAGCGACTGCTAAATTTGAGTATCTACCCGAAAGCACATGGGGAGGCTGAGGGACCCACTGATGAGCTGGATCTCTCCCTGTCTTGCAGTGCAGCAACAGAATCCTCGACCAAACGTGTGTCTGAACTTTTAGCTACTAATATTTATCATGTAATCGATGTACAGTATGTCTACGAAGCCGTGCGACGGTCATGAGGAAATTTGAGTTGTTAGTTTAGCATATATTCGGTCACGTTATTTTGATCTATTGAGAGGATTTACTACTGGGAAAACTTTCTAGTTAAGAGAATCGCCCTTTTAGTTAAGTATACTAAGGGTAATGGGCATTAAATTTAGCGAAAATGGGAGAAGTCTCTTTTGAAGGAATTTCCTATGCTATTGAGTACGACAGAGCCAAACGTTTTATTAATATGCATTGCGATATGTGAAAACCCCAAAATAAGTAAGGAAAGCTTAAAACATATCCCTTCCTGAACCCGAAAGTCTTCAAAACATTGGATGAAGTCGATGTTCTTCCACACCCCATTTACAGCCCAAATGTCGCACCTTCTGACTATAGCATATTTCAATAAATGCGAGGTCATCGATGCGAGCCATTTGAGGAAGTTGAAGAGGCATGCATATCGAAAATACCGAATAAAAGCACAAAGAATGTTACTTAAACCAGATCTGAGAAAAGCAAGCGGTTTTACATACCCGGGCGCCTTTCGTAGGTAGACCTTACAGCGAAAATCGATGGTATTCAGTTCTGGGGGTTTCCATTTCAGGGTTTCGGGACATGTTCCGGGGACGTAGAAATCGGCGTTGCCAGCGGGTTGGAAAATGAGGCCGTCGGTCTCGTGCATCAGAGTCTGACGAGTTGATTGCAACAACTGAAAAGACAAAGAAATAAATGCCCGTGTGTACATAAAAATGGTCAGCAAACGTCAGAGGTACTTACTATTCACAGTAGATGTGCCGTGAAATGTTAACTGAAGTACTTAAATATGTTTTCGATTCGGAAAAAGATTAATTTCGTAGGCTTTCAATATTAATTATTACGAAGCATAATCGAAAGATGTTTCAGTTACTTCCTGATGCCGGCTTCTGAACGGACATCTTTTTAGCCGCCTGCAGAAACCGCACTCCGTAAAAAAGGCAATTTAAGTAGTATGCACTGTCCTATCGATTTTTTGGCGTCCTTATAAATTCAAATGTTTTAAACATACACCAAAACATAATCTCCTGTGTTTATTTCGCAGAATATTACGTTGATACGTTATAAAAATTTGTTTAAATCGATGAGAGTTCTTAAGACCGCAAAATATATTAATTCATAGAGCAACGTATCGGTACATTTATTCATGTTGCTTGTAAGATATACAACACTGTCCACATCCACCACAACATTTTGTGAATCCTGTATAATTCCTTCTGAATAGCATGTAGTAATATATGATTTGGTTTACATGGAAAACGTACAACTTGTAGTTGGGGAAAAATTAATGCAAATGAAACATCGCGTCGGATTGAAAATAAATTCGGAATTGAAAAGGTTTTTAAAACAGAAAGAAACAATTTTCAAGGCATAAATTTTCAGAAGATACATTTTTGCTATGAAACAAGTATCAGAAAGAATATCTTGTATGTTTTCTATAAAATGTATTCAAATTTTTGAAGGCACTGGAAAGCGATTTGAGAATACGCACTACTTAAGTCATCTATTTTTACAAGGTATAGTTTTTGCAGGCTGCTGGAAACAAACGCAGGCAACAGTAGCTTATTTAGGCCCACTCATTAATCTCTACCCCCTGCAGGTTTTCCCACGAAAACGGTGGTTATAGGGTTTTATGGGTGGGGAATTAGGACAGGCAGTGTAATATACTTTAATAAAAGCTAAATGCACTTTTATTTTACTGTATTTAGAAGTGTTGCTGATTTACATCTGTAGATTTTTCTAATCTGTATGTGTATTTAGAAGTGTTGTTGATTTATATCTGTAGATTTTCCTAATCTGTATTATCGTTTGACCTAATTGCGGAAAAACCCGATTATCAAACTGCAGGTTTCTTGAATTTCCTGAAAATTTGAAATTGTGGTTAGGAGGTCTTCTACTTCAACTTACCTGCGGTCCAACTTACCATT